AAAAATAAGATAAAACAGAATATTGTTCATTAATTTTCGCTATAATGTTTAGAACTAATTAGAGACCTAGCGTGTTATTCAAAGCAGAGTTGGAACCGGTCCGGCCGGACCGGACAAGACCAGATGAAAAATTAAACCGGCCCGGACGAAACCGGATTTTTGCCAGTTCATAATATTGAAATTAATCCTTGTATTTCAAAGTTTTCTCCGACGACAACAACTTTTATTCGCTTTTTTTGCGTTGAAATATTATGTCAGCGATTATTAGAAATTCCACATGAAAAAGAGAATATGTGTCGAAAATATTTGTACAAATTCATGTACATGCATAGCTTCGATTGTATTTAGTAGTAGTCGCTTTTGATCGTAATAAATAAACCAGTCGGATTTTTGACGAATTTTTGCCGGATTTTTGCCAGTTTGACGTCAAAAATGAGCCGGTCGGATTTCAACCGGACCGGATCGGATGGAAAAAATCCGTCCGGTTCCAACTCTGATTCAAAGTATGAGAATTATTACTTATCCTTATCTCAAATACAAATGAAAATAAGATCTATGTTAATGGATCTGGATGTTTTGCCCTGAAATAAAACGTGTTTTCGCTGTATTGTTCTCCAATTTATCGTCTAAAAATAATGAGTTCGATGCACATAATTCCTCGATTGTTGAAAGAAATAGTAACAAAGAATTAAACTTAACAAAATAAAGAAATAAAATAATACAATGAGAACTTGGCCTCAATTGAAGATGATGGCAATTAATTGAGAAGAAATCAGTATGGATCTCATAAGAAATAGAAAGAGAATGATGAACATTTTGGTGTTTTACAGTGCTTGAGACAGTTCATTTTATCTAGCATTGATTTGATTAAAAATAATTTTGGTTGCCAATTACAGACTGAACTTTTCTGTTTTTTTTCTTATGAGACATAATATGATCGTACAGGTGTTCAGTATTAATCATGTATTAAAATTTTGAAAATCTCTACAAAATATTTCGTCTTGTCATCCGAGTAGAACATTCAATGAAACATCTTTTGAAAAAACAATCAACACTTTATCGTGTTCCTGAGCCGAGTTACATGCAAAACAAAGAATGTCGCACAATTGTTGCTAAGTCCAATATAATAAGCATATATATATATATACTGTATGCTGGAATTTAAGCGTTCCACTTCTTGTAGTCGCAGAGATACAAGTAACATGAAGTTCATAGAACGATTTTGAATTATTTTGAGAGGAGTTTTCTACCGTTTTGTTAGGGGTGTTTAAATAAAAAACCAGTAATTTGAACGAGATTCAGAAATCGAAATCGTTTAAACATAAAAAAGAAAAAAAAGTACATCAATAATTATGTCTCTGCTTTCTGTCTTGATGTATTACTTGCTTCAATCGACTAGGTAATTTTTCTACTCTTACATTACTCAATTTTACAATTTTGATTCATTTTCAAAACTTTTTTCTCTCAATCTTTCCTTAATTTTACTCTAAACTGTCTCGATTGGTCAAATAAAAATTCAATAGTATTCGTCATAACTGTTGTTTGACGTTTACTCTCTTGATTATCTTGAAAAACCGGTACCAAGTTGTTAACAGCCATGTGAACAAATGACTGAACACAGAAGTGATACGCAAAAAAATTAAAAGTAAATCTTTATGAGAGATCAATCGAATAACTTCATTTTTTTAGCCGTGTTGTTTGTACAAAATAATTCAAGAGTTCTTATTAATCTTAGGTTAGTGTCCTGGAACCAGGTCAGGTACTTGACACTTAACTCAGCCTGGAGTATGAGTCCGGATGCTGAACTTGAAAAATTGTGGATTCGGATTTGGGTACGAGACCATACCCGGATCCGATCTGGCAATTAATAAGATCTCAATGTTTCAAAATATTTTTACTTTTTCAAACTGCTAATTTATATAAAAGCATGGGAATGAAAACCGGTACGATTATAATGGAACAATTTATTGTACTTGAGAACAGCTCACAGCATTGAAAAAACGATATTGTCTTACTAATAGAAATTGTTTTTAATAGAAATCCATCCACACATGATGATAAATCATATGATGAAGTCACTGAATACATGAAGAGGAAAATTAATTATCAAAAAAAGTGAACATGAATTATCATGATGGAAAAAAACATTCATGTTTGTATCCACAATTATGAAGTTTAATGCTAAAACTGGGTTTCATTCCAACGTCATTAGCAACAAGAAAAACAGATTGAATTTTAAAAGCAGAAAAACATTAAGTGAATTCTGAATCACTTGCTTTTTTGTGAACTTTGAGATGATCTCTATTTTTTGTTGCTGTATATGGAAGACATTAAATTAGTGCACTTTTTTATATTAAATAAACGTTTGAAGTATTTACCAAATTTCGAATTAATTCCAATCGATTACTGGGTACAGTTATCCGGATCCAGCTGTAAAAGCTGTATTCATGCATAACACTATTTTACGTTACCCGTATCTCGGTGACTATAAATGGTGGAAAACTCAATCTTTCACTACCGGTCGAATTCCGTAAGTTCTGAAATACTGAAGCTCTCAACAGTACAACTTTACTCACTGAACTCTCGAAAAAAGTGAGTTGCGATTTTTTTTTTCTTTATGTCCACAACTGCACCCGCACCCACAAACGTTTAATAGTTCGTCTATTTTTGTAATGTGTGTTTTGTTTAATTTCGATATCTCTATTAAAAATGTTTTTCAACGTTAACGAGTCTCAATGACAACATCCATTTTATGGGAATAAAATGAATGAATGGTCATTATCATTCATTTAAATAATTCAATGCATTGAGCCAATAAACGATTTTGTTACGGTTGATTAGTGATGCATTTCTTTCATTTTTTTTTTATCTTTCATATGAATGAAAAAATTGACGATTGTTACCTCTAAATTGAACTGTTCGATGTGTTTCTTCCTCTGTTTAAATACAAATCAACAATATTATGACAAAATTCAGGTTAGAAATGAAATATTTCTCGTGTTTATAGGAAATAAATTTATTTTATTTAGCATAGAAACAATTTATAAAAATCCAAAGTGGACTGGTCAAACAGTGACTAAGTATATAAATGAAAAAAAAAATGTTTCTATTATATAACCTTTTTAATTTTTCTACTGTGAAGACTTGAACATCTTCAAAGTATCATTGATTTGCGTCGACGTAAAAGTCATGACCAATCAAATTTTAAAGATGACAGAAAATCAGATAATCAAATCGATTCACGTATTGTTATAAATGTTAGTGGTTTACGTTTTGAAACATATAGATCAACACTTGAACGTTATCCAAATACATTACTTGGAAATATTCAACGTCGATCATGTTTTTATGATAAAAAAAATGATGAATATTTTTTTGATCGACATCGATTATGTTTTGAAGCAATACTTTATTTTTATCAATCATCTGGACGTCTTCGTCGACCTGACCATGTTTCACTTGATACATTTTTAGAAGAAATAACATATTTTGATTTAGGTCTAGATGCACTTAGACAAGTACGAAAAGATGAAGATTTAGAAGAAGCAAAAAAAGTTAAGTTACCACAAAATCGTTTTTGTCGTCAATTATGGGCAAATTTAGAATATCCACAATATTCAATGACAGCCAAAATTATTAATATATTTTCTATTATTTTTATATTATTGTCTGCAATTGAACTTGCTATACAAACATTACCAAATTATCGTGGAACCCATCATAATCGATGCGAATACGAAGGAGATGGTATGTAGATAATTAGGAGACTAAATCACAGACAAGAGCATTTTGAGTTGGTCTTATTAATTTAAGTATGAAATGAAATCATATGGTTGAATGAGATGACTGCATTTGTTTGATTGATCAATAATTACAAGAATGACAGATTCGATAGCTTGCCAGTTATTCTACATATTTATCAACTACAATTGATTGTGTGATGGGAAATTCGAATCTATTCATATCAGAGATAATGATAGAAACTTTTATTCTATGATAAACATAGATAATAGAGTTCAATACATAGCAATTTAAACAGTTTGAGTGAAATTTCTGGACACTTCTCATTTATCATAAAAAAGTAGTGCTATTGAGATTGATATTTCAATTTTGTAAGGATTCTAGCAACAGCTTTGTAATACGTTACATCTTTACGGTCATGGTCATAATCGATGTTAATTTCTAGACGACTGGTTTTCTGAAAAAAGACTGCATGGCTCTATTTGATAGCTCATAGCATAAGTTTGAAAATAAAATTTTTTTTGATACCAAGAAAAAAATCTGTCACTAACGAAGGAACCTCTTCAATTGCTTGTTCCTAATTTCAATGATTTTTTTGCCTACAAATATCTTACAGTGCTTAATAGAAACTGTAAAAGTATTTGGGCTTCAATTGAAATTTGCATAAGCTATCGAACTTTTAATATGTCTATTTTCTTAGAGACTCCAGTTTTTCAAAAAACTCATGTTATAGAATTTCGATATAAAACTTGGTGTATGTGGAAAATTCAACTAGACTAGCTTACATAAAAGAATTGAGAAGTTTTGAACAAAGTCACTTCGAGATATGAAGCTTTCAAAAAATGCATGTCGTATATATTATTCATGGAAACGGGTCTAGATCTTGAAAGTCTCGTATCTCGAAGAGGCTTTGTGCAAAATTTCTGATTTTTTTTAAGACAGCTAGTCTAGTTGAGTTCTCTAAGTGCAAAGTTTCAGATCAATTTTCGAAAATATAAGTTTTCTGAAAACCTAAGATCTCTAGAAAATAGGCGTACGAAAAATGCAATAGCTTAGTCAAATTTCAATAGTAACTCAAATAGCTGTAGAGTTTTTATTAGAACACTATGTAGTATCAATAGATAAAACATGATTGACATTGAAAGGGAACAGCTGAAAATGTTCCCTCGTAAATGGAGCAAAACAAGCATAAGGTTAGATCTGTTTGACTACTGATTATTAGTGACGAAGTTATGGGTGAGCTCAGTCCTTAGATTATGCAGGATAGATTTTTTTTTAGTTCCGATCCCGAATGCTTCGTATGACAGGAAAAATGGAAGTTTTCGGTATTCGGGACCATTCCGAAAGACTCAACTATGAGAGATTTTGAAAGCTATGCAAGAGTAACTCTTTGCACGATTAAATTAGGCTCAATCCACCATAAGTTCATCCTAAAACTGATATATTGAGTCCGTCACTACTGATTATTGATACAGATTATTGTATAGTTTTTCATCTTTAATATAATTATTTCATGTAAATTGTTATAAGTTGATTTATTTATATCTATCTTTTATTTTGTAAAACAATTAATAAGACTGATTGAAAACATACCGAGTTTTTTCTATTATACTTTAAAAAATCTTTTCTGATACTCACATTTAACAAGTTTTCTTAGTTCTTACGTTCGCACATATTATAGTATTTACACTTTGAAAACTAATCATAACTAAATATCTGTTATTCAAGAAATTTTTGTATTATGTATTTGAACTTACACTTGTTATTTTTTTAGGCTTATTTATTGACAGTGAAAGTACAACCCCTCGCCGTCTTTGTCCACCAAATTTTCAATCAGCATTCTTTATAATTCAATCAATTTGTATTGGTTTTTTTACCATAGAATTTCTTCTACGTTTAATATCTTGTCCATCTTTTTTTGATTTTATTAAATCAATTCCAAATTGGGTCGATTTTTTTGCAATTGGTAAATTTAATATTCTTTTATTTTTTTCGTTTATAATTAATCAATTCTTTATATTCTTAATCTAGTTCCTTATTATATAACATTAGTAATCAGTCTTCTTGGTACTCATAAAGAAATATCAGGAGAAGCTTATTTTTGTTTAACTATTTTACGTATAGTTCGTTTTCTACGTGTATTTAAACTTTATCGTATATTTCAACATATTAAATCATTACGTGTACTTGGTAGTACATTAAAAGAATCAATACCTGATTTTATAATATTATTATCATTTTTAACATTAAGCGGTTTTCTATTTGGTGCAGCAATTTATTTTGCTGAAAATGATGTTAATAAAGATGTTTTTGATTCAATACCTAAAGCAACTTATTATGGTATTATTACATTAACAGCAGTCGGGTAGAAATGAAAAACTAAGATTTTTATTTATTTATTTGTTGTTTGCTTTTGTATGGCTTTTTTTTAGATATGGTGATTTAACTCCTATTACTGCACTTGGACGTAGTTTGGCATGTTTAGCTGCTATATATGGTATATCAATTGTCTCAATGCTTGTTTCTGTACTTGTTGATCGATATCAAAGAGTATATGCACGTAAACATTTTCTTGATGAAGAATACACAGAAAATACGGTTTTAAATGATTCACTTCGATGTTCAATTAATAATGATAAATATGTAGAAAGTCAGATCGACCTTGAAAGACAATTTTCTGCTATTCCTGAACTTTGTGATCATGTTGAAAAAGAACCAGATAGTGATGAACCATCTGGTAAAGTTCGTTTTATTATTGGTTATTTATCAGATGATGATGCTGATAATGATAATGATGATATTGATGAAGATGAACATGAAATTATTCATAAAGTTGCTCAGGAATTACTTAATTCAGCATCAAATAGATATCGTTCAATGAATAAAAACAATTTACAATGATAATCTGTTCTTTTTGTTTGAAAATTATAAGTCAGATAAAAAACTGATAGATTTTTTTAAAATTAAATTGAATAAAAAATAATAGATATCGAATGTAATTCAAACAAATACTGTTATTTAATATCATTCAATATTCAATGTAACGAATTCGATCATTCAAAAAAGAAAAGTCTCACATATTATTTGAAATGTACATCTTGCAAGCTACTTATTGTTTCTTCATTGTTCTTTGCTTGTTAATGTAAGATAATGAGTTGCAATAGACAATATGTCAAATTTTTCTTACATTATTATGTAACTAATGAAAGAACGTTTTCTACATACTTAAGAAGAAACATTCCAAGACGTTCGTGTCTTTTTAAGCTGATAGTTTATACATCAGTAAGCTTTGGTACACTATGAAAATTTTTCAAATAATTTGTGCTAAAGCTCGTCGGACCCAAAGTTTTTGAATCCCGACTCGATTTACTGAATGTCATTGGAAGTTGGATCCACCCAGGCAGACAAAACTTTCGAAAAACGCGTTTAAACGCACAATCGGGAACCGCGACTGTGATCCATTCACGCTCATTATAAAAACGCAAGAAACGACGTTTTTTGTACAAATTAGTCACTTTTCAAGCGTGAAAACGGTGGAAAACTTAAATTTCTAGTGTTAACACGTTCTCTTTTTCTAGATTTAAAAAACGACGTGTGTAAACGCTCAGTTTTTTATATTTTTGCCGTTTTCACGCTTGAAAATTGACTATTTTGCACAAAAAACGTCGTTTCTTGCGTTTTTTTAATGAGCGTGAATGGATCACAGTCGCGGTTCCCGATTGTGCGTTTAAACGCGTTTTTTGAAATTTTTGTCTGCTTGGGCAGTCGAACCCTACTTTGATACTCTCAATGAAATTTGTATCTGTTGAGTTTGAGCTTCGTCGATGTTAGTGGTTAAACTATCCGTATCGGACTACAATTGAACTTTGTCACACACATAATCGATATGAAAATCCTGGTGTTATGAGAAACGCATATCGAGCTTGTATGATCTTATTGTGCATTTGATTACAGATCAATATCTTGATCAACTTGTGAAAGGTAAAAGAGTTTACAAGCATTGAGAACGATACATAGAAAGGTTTTTGATAAAAAACTATAACATGAATGTAAATTTATTTATTTTATGTTGATGATATACTTGATCCATCTTATATTATAAAACATAGGATAATTCATCTTCTCTTATGACTATTCATTACTAGATACTAGTGACATCTAAACGTTGTTTATAATTTGTTATGAAAAATATTGAAAAAAATTAGAAAATCTTAAAATTTTTCTACTAATAATAGGAGAAAATGTGAAATAGATATTATTTTTAATATTTTTGCTCAGCATGAACAATTGCACTAAAGATGAAGGTTTCTTTGATTTTTACTGGCTATTTGCACATGACCAAGATTTACCATTCTCTTTTTCGCACTTAGCTTCACAATAGTTTCTCAAGATTCACATACTTTTTTAATCGATGGATGCAGATATGCTCTATATAGCAGCATTTTTCTTCAGAAAACACTTTGGTCATGCAGATAGTACCTCTTTGTAGATCAGTATAACTCAACTAATCTATAAAATATTTATTTCTGATCCTATTTTAGAGAAATCGATTGAAAGAAATCCCCAATTCTTTTGAAACATGATTTTAGTATTGATGCAGTTCATTATATATTTATCACTATTAGTACACTCAAAGTATTGTTTAACTGATGAATATTCATTTTCTTATTCTGAACTTCGTTGTTTCTCAAATACTTTTGAATTTTATTTATGATGCTTTAGAGATCATATGAGTATTATATATGAATAAAGCAACGTCGTAAAAAAATTTAATTTTTTTGCCACAAAGTTTTCTATTGATTAAGAGAAAAATAGCAATACTAAATTTTATCGAAAGATCATAACTATACTTTGGCTATGTTTCTATTCAAGTTGAATTGTCTATTCTTTTTTTTTTTACTTGTATTATAGATTAATCGTCATCTTTAATTTGTTATTTCATAATGGCTTTCGGACAGAACTCACGAGGTGGCGGTGGTAATCGTGGTCGTGGAGGTTTTAGAGGAGGTCGAGGCGGTGGTGGCGGAGGAGGTAAGATGAATATTTCGAAATGAATCTAGACATTGACATTGATTTTTATCTTTTAGGTCGTGGTGGTAGTGTAGGTTTCGGTAGTCGCGGAGGTAGCCGCGGTGGTAGTCGAGGCGGTAGCCGCGGTGGTAGCCGTGGTGGTAGTCGTGGTGGTAACCGTGGTGGTCAATTTGGCGGTGGAAAAGATCGAGGACGTGGTGGTGGTGGTGGTGGTGGTGGAAGATTTTCAGATACTAGTAAAAACTTCATTCGTGTAATTTTACAAGTTAATTAATTTTTTTTTTATCACTTATTTAGAACGTGAATTCATGAGTGATAGTGTTTATGTCGGTCAATTACCTGCTGAAATTCAAGAAAGTGATTTAAAGAAACTTTTTCCAAAAGCAAAAAATGTTCATCTTGCGCCAGCTCTAGGAACTCGACCTGGGTTAGTTCTTAGTTTTTTTTATTAAATTTTTGTTTTCTTTAATGATTTGTTATATTCTAGTCATGCTTTTATTACATTTTCCGATGATTCTTCAGCAGCAGCAGCTGTTAAACAAGGTGCTACATTTAAAAGTACACAACTTAAAGTAGCTTTTCAAAATAAACGTGCTGAACCACAAAAACGATCGTCAGATACAGATGATCAATCAGGTTCGTTTATTTTTTTCTTTCTTTCTATTTAAACAATAAGGTTTTTTGTTTGTGTCTCGTATAGGTCCTAAAACAAAAAAACTCAAAAGTGATGTATCTCCTGCTAAAGGATCAGCAAATAAAAATGGTGTAAAAGGACAAAGTAAAAAGGCAGCTGGTTCTGATGACGATGATGATGATGAATCAGTATGTTTTAAATATTCTAAAACAATAGTAAAGATAATCGATAATGTTTCCATTAATTTAGATGGATTTTGAAGAAGATGATGATGAGGATGACGATGACGATGATGATGATGATGAAAATGAAGAAGATGAAAAAGCTCTTAAAAAAAAAGTTGCAAAAATGGTTTCTGGAGGAAAATCAGTAAGTTCCAAAATATAATAATTAAAAGAAGAAAAAGCAACCGATTTCATTACCTTAGGATAAAGCTGCAGCAAAACCATCAGCTGGAAAAAATGTCGAAGAAGAAGATGATGATGATGATGACGATGACGAAGACGATGATGATGACGACGACGATGATGATGATGATGTAAATAATCAATCTTTGTTTTGTAAAGAAAAGAAAATATTGACTTTGCTTTCAATAGGATGATGATGATGATGATGAAGAAGAAGAAGAAGATAAACCATCTAAAAAAACTCCACCAACATCAGCCAAACAAGCAGCACCAACTGCTGGTCAAAATAAAAATAAAGGCAAAGCAGAATTGACTAAACCAAGTATTATCGATACTTCAGCTCAAAAAAAGACTAAACCTACAGATCAAACAGCTTCAAAGAAAACAACATCAGCTGAACCTCAAAAACGTACAATTGATGTTGCTGATAAATCAGGTATAATTATTTTCATATCCAACATAAAAATTTCATTATTTTCTTCTAGGTCCTCAAGCAAAAAAACTTAAGAATGAAACTCCGGTTACTGGTAAAAATGTTCCAGCAGGAAATAAAAATGGTTTGAAAGGAAAAGGAAAAAAACAAGAGGATGATGAAGATGATGATGACGACGACGAAGATGATGATGAAGTAAGAATTTTATACGAAAGAAAAATTGTAGTTTCGAAATGTGTTACTTCGATATTCTCAATGAGATTCTCTAATCAGAATTAAATAGCCGGCTCGAAGATGCAAGATACTTTTCTTCGGATTTGACAACTAGCACATCCTATATATTCCTCAGACGACTAAAGTCTATCGAATTTCAAATTTTCGAATCTGGACTCAACTCAGCTGACCTTACTGCAGGGCGGATTTTGTTCACACTGTGACTGAGGAAAATTTTAGAGTTCTGCAGATCTCGATTTTTAGATTTTATATTTATACTTATGTCTTCTTAGCTCAATTTCGGTGAAGATGATGACGATGATGATGATGATGATGATGATGATGACGACGATGACGATGATGATGAAGAAGAAGAAACACCTAAAAAACCTGTTGGAAAATCACCTACAACTGGAAAACAAGTAAGTTTAATTAATCTATACTTTAAAAGTGAGATGATCTAAACTTTTAGGCTAAACCTGTTATCAAGCCATCGGTTGCTGAAGACGATGATGAATCCGTAAGCATAACTAATCACACTCTTGATTTCGTAATGATCATTATTCCCTTTTCAGGATGATGATGATGATGACGATGACGACGATGATGATGATGATGAAGACGAAAAACCTACAAAAACGACAACCAAACCCGTTCCAGCTTCGAAACAAGTAAGTACAACTGAATAAATTCTTCGTCCAAATAGTAACTTCAATTTTCAGACTAAATCGGCTCCCAAACCATCGGCTGTTGAAGATGACGAAGATGATGTAAGTTCATAATTTTCTTTATTATTATCTAATATAATTTTCCTATTATTTCTTCAATAACAGGACGACGACGAAGACGTAAGTTAATATCAAATCTTTTGTGAAAAAAAAATAAAACTAATAATAAATTATCTTTAGGATGATGACGATGAAGACGACGAAGATGATGACGATGATGAAGAATCTAAACCTACAACACCACTTAAATCTGCTTTGAAACAATCATCGTCAACTCCATCAAAACAAAAACCATCAGCAACTCCGACTAAACCAGCACAAAAAACAAAGCAAGAAACACCAAGCAAGCAATCAGCACAAAATACAAAACAAGAAACATCAACACCAAATGCTAATAAACCACTTAATAAAACACAATTGTTTATTAATTCAATAAAAGAAAGTGTTAGTGTATCTGAAATGAAACAACTTTATCCAAAATCAACATCAGTTAAAATGCAAAAACGTAAAGTTGGTCCAAATCATAAAGCTATTCAGTATGTATAATTTGTTTTTGTCTTTTTTTCTTTTTTGGTAAACAAATTTTATTTTTCTTAGATTTGCTTTTGTTTCATTTGAAAATGAAGCTGATTGTGCTGAAGCATTAAATGCTCATACACAAATTGGTGGTGAAAAAGTAAATATTTCTTATGCATTTGCACAAGGAGGTAAACAACAAACACAAGCAAATAATGAATCAAATAATAAACAAGAAAAAAATCAGAAAAAACAAACACCATTTAATGAAAATACAAATAAACAAGAAAAAAACCAGAAAAAACAAACACCTTCCAATGAAAATACAAATAAAAAAGAAAAAACCAAAAGTGGTTTGTAGAAAAGACTTTAAATGTTTATTTGTTTGTTTTTTTTCTTATTTTCTAAATTTTTATTTTAGAAAAACAACTTTCAACAAATGCAATCTATGTTGGTCAATTACCAGAACATGTTGTTGAAGATGATATAAAAAATCTTTTTCCAAAAGCAAATAAAATTGAATTATTTGCAGCTAAAGCAAAAAATAAAGGTGTTCGACCTGGTTTTGCATTTGTTACATTTCCTGATGATAATTCAGCAGCTGCTGCTATTAAAGTTGGACCAACATTAACACTTAAAAATACACAATTAAAAGTTGCTTATCAAACTAAACGAGCAACACCAACAGCTACTGAATAAGAAGAAGAATAAAAAAAAAGAATAATAAAGAACTTACAGTTTTTTTTTGTTTTTCTTTCTTTTCTGAGTATTGAATGTTTCTTTTTTCTTGTTATAGTTAAGTACTACATGATTGTTATCCGTTTGTTTATCTTCAATTATTGAAGATGAAAACACATGTAGACATTAACATATTGCTTTTTTGTTTTGTGTTCATTCAACTATGCTCGCTGTGTTTTTTTTCTTATCTTCCGTATTGAAGATATTTCATTCATAATGAAACTTTAAAAAAAGAATTTGGAAAATAAACATAAAAAGATACTGTTTATTGCTAAACAATTCTAAATGATTGAATGAACATTTTCGAGTAATATTCGATTTGTATCAGAGTTGACAGTAGGTTTTTTTCTGGTTTGGAGTGCCTACATATAGTGTATTGGAACAATAAGCGCGCAAAAAACGAAAGGAAAAACATATGATGTCTATTGAAAGACCAATGAAGAATGTACCGATGCTGGTGTAAGTAATAATCTGATCTTCGGAAGGGACCACTTCCTCGACCCATATGGTGCATAAAACATTGGTGTTGATGAATGTGTAGGTGTCGATGTTAGTCTTTTCTAGGCATGTACTCAAACTCAATAATAGAATTTCATTATATCAAACTAATCTCATTCATTATGAACTATATCAATAAACTGCCACAACATCAATATAGTAAGATGTTTGTCTTTGACAACCAAACGAATCATGATCGAATAGATCATTTGATTTAATAGAAAATTGAAAACAATTCAAACTCCTTTGCTTTGAGGTTTTTGCTGGGCTCTGATATATAATCTAATAACGTTACCGAAATCCCTCTTTTGACATTCTCTCATATCATTTTCCCGCTTGTGTTTTCTACCCACGAAATTGTATCACGTATCAGATTTTGTAATCTGAACTTTGGCAATTTATCTAACTTTCCGTCGGACTTTTGACAATAAAAATATTGTCGAAATGCCACACAATTCATGCCTATTCTTTCTTTTATCCTCACCCACACCTACATCTGTTATCTTCATTTTTTTTGCGTGTGCTTAACTTGTCGGTGCTGAACTTTCCTCGTACATCGTTCACTGATCCCTGATGACCAGACTAAAAACCACAAAGTGACCTGTAGAACAAATCAGCCTGATTCATGTTTCTGGTCTTGCGAATACGTTTAATTCTACAGCTATACATTAATGTATCATTGCACTACGAATTGTACACCTAATTTAGCTCCAGAAAGATAAAATAATAACAAGTTGTTGCACGAAATATCAAATAAAAACAAATGGACAATAATCATAAATATTTTTCATACAAGAAAGGCTTGAGATAATGAAACTTTTTTCATATCAGTACCAGTTTCCATAATCGAAAAACATGTAGTTATAATAGCAAAAACAACATACGATTTGGCATACAACAAAGAGGTGAAAGAAAATGTAGGAAATTAGTGATAAGGATAAGAA